AATTTCTACTTGAAATTTCACCCAAATAATCTTAAACTTCTTTTTGAATTCTCATGCAAAGTATTCTTTTTTTTAGTTTTAGTTTAAGTTTTAGTTTTAGTTAGTTTGTGAAATTTTATGTGAATTCTCACCCAGAGAATTCCACAATTTTTTATTTGAATTCTCATCCAGAGAATTCTAGAATTCTTATTTATATTGTCACCCAGGGAATTCCAGAATTCTTGTTTGAATCCTTATCCCAAAGAATTCAATTAATATTATTTAAATTCTAACCTGGAGAAATCAAGCATTCTCATTAAAATCCTCACCCAAAGAATTCTAAAATCTTTTCCCAAACCTGCCCTTTTGAAAATTCTGGAAAATGGATTTGTACCTTGCTTGCTGAAACAGACTTAAACTGAGGATTCTGCGATGCAGAGATGTGAAGAGCTTTAGTGAACAGAGTGGGAACCAAATTTGGCAAGCGGATGTTTTACATAATCACAACACTCTGGTCTCCCCCTCACTGCCGGAAATAACTGTGGAAAAAAAAATCGCAGGTTTGATAAGCATAATGAGACGTGTTACTGTGTAGGTGCCTAATGGAGCTGGTGGGCGGCTTCCATGTTCTGAAAGGCAGCTGATTACCACAGTAAGGACTAACCCCCCTTGAGAGTGTCTTTGGGGCTCAAATGTGGCAGCCTCTCTCTTCTGGCCACAAAGACAGGGAAAATTGCAGTAATTACTCAAATTCCCTTGATTGGTTCAGCTAGCTGGGAAACAGCCAAGTGGATTTCCAGCGTGGCTCAAAGAGCGCCAAGCTGAGTTTAAAGTCGAAGCACTTAAAACGTGTGTTGCACTGTGGAAATTGGAATACTATTTTCTCGGAATGTCAGAATTGTTTTGTGGGTGTTTTATTACACTGTTAAAACAGTAAAAGCGAAGCAACCAACTGATAGAATGATTAAAGCACAGAAGAGAACACCAGTGAATGCAGGTTCACTTACAATAACATCACTTCAGCTTTCAAATAAATGGCGTTATTCATGAACTGAAGCGGCAATAAGAAGGTTGTGGAAAAATGTGTGCACTTATATTGAGACTCCCTGGAGACAAACAGAGTTCCATGAACAATGCTGTGCAAAAGTCAGACACCACTTTCATTTATTTTTAAATGCCTGTCTGCCATTAAGTTATTTGTTTTTCAGGAATATTTCGGAAGAGATTGGATATAAGAAAGTCCACCTACATTGTGAAAAATATACCGATCAGGCATAACATTATGACAACCTCCTTGTTTCTACGCTCATTGTCCATTTTATCAGCTCCACTTACTATATAGGTGCACTTTGTAGTTCTACAATTACAGACTGTAGTCCATCTGTTTCTCTGCATACTTTGTTAGCCCTCTTTTACCCTGTTCTTCAGTGGTCAGGACCCCCATGGACCCTCACAGAGCAGGTATTATTTGGGTGGTGGATCATTCTCAGCACTGCAGTAACACTAACATGGTGTGTTGTGCTGGTCTGAGTGGATCAGACACAGCAGTGCTTGTATCCAATCTCTCCTCCTATGTGGAGAAGTTTTTTTATGTTTTTACATAATAAAGTAAGTCATATCATGATTTCTCTGTGCAAAACAAATGACTCTCTGGGTTTTGTAGAGGGCTGAGAGATGTTTTGGTCATGCATTTACAGAGATGAGATTGGTGACCATCTAAGTCCAGTGTTTGTTAACGTTAGCCTAGAATCTCCTGTTCAAAACTAATGAAGCAAACTCCAGGCACCAAATACGCCTCGACTGATCAACTGCATCTGGGGTGAGCGATAAATAATGTTAATTAGGTTTTCCACCAAACCTTTCCTTTAACAGAAGAATTACCTGTAGAAAACTGCTGACCAGTAGCAGCGAGAAACAGGGTCAATTAAATAAAAATTACAACAGCAGAGTTTTTCCCATGTGCCTTATCAATATGTATTCTATTCTCTCAAAATGTACTCTGGATATGTTACTTTTCTATTTATTGTAAAAGAATAAATTACTGAATACATCACTACTTTTTTAAAGGATTCTGCCCAACACTGCTTCTTACCATGGATGTCTCAAGGCTGTAATTGCCAACACCAGCTTTGCATGTGCTAATGTTATTCATTCGTGGTGTCTGAATATTTTTTTCTTTAGCAGTTTCATTTTTTATACATATCTAATGCTTATGAATACATACTTAGTTCATACAAACACAGACTGTTGGGCTTATTGGGGCCTGCAGATGCACGTGGGAATTTAAGCATTTTTTTTTTTTCAAATTCCTTCTTTAATTAATTTTTGTTATAAACATACTACATTTTTTTAAATGATCAAGCAAATTAAATATCTTATTGTTCTCCTATTTTAGAAACAAATAATAATACGGATTTGCATTGACAATTCCCGTAATGAATGTTTTTTCCTGAAGAAGAAGTAAAATGTTTGTAAGGTTTAGCCATGATAGCACACCGTTTAAGCCCACCTTGTAATAAATGCTAATACAGACCAAATATAAATGAAAACAGAAAGTGATTTGCTAATTTTTAAAATTTTATTCAATTGAAAACAGTACAATGCCAAGCTATTTAATGCTTAAACTGATTAACTTTGTTGTTTTTTGTATATTGGTAACAATCAGGATGGTCTTTTTCATCTTTGGCTCAGATAACACAATGTCCATTATTTCCATAAGCAATTCATCAAAAGGTGGGCTAGTCAGACCACAGCACACGTTTCCACTTTGCATCAGTCTATCTCAGATGAGCTTTAGCTCAGAGAAGTCGGCGGTGTTTCTGGATGTTGTTGATATATGGCTTCTGCTATGCCCTGTACAGTCTTAACTTGAGGAGATTGAAGAACATTCAATATTGGTTTTCAGCCGTACCTTTTATGCACAGAGATTCCTGTGTAAGTGGGTTTTAAAAAGAAATTTCTTCTTAAGAACAGTTGGAGAATGAGGCCGATTGTTCTTAAACTATTTAGTCAAACTTTTTTTTTTGGCTCATCAGATCTACTTAAAAAAATTACTTTATGTGGTAACAAGCAACTGAACTAGTTTTATCCAACTTAAAAAAACTACGTAGATTGAATGAACCGTTCATTCAAAGTATTTATTTAGGTTGAATAAAAATAGTTAATTTACTTGTTACCATATGAAGTAATTTTTTTAAGTAGATCTGATGAGCCACTTTTTACAGTGAGGCGACTAAGTCTGTCGCTCCTTTTATACTCAACCATGATAGCATCACCTGTGACCTATACACCTGTGGAAAGCTCCAAAACAATCCACAAACTTTCCAATCTTACATTGGCCCCGTCACAACTTTTTGTAATGAGCATATATTTAGAAAAATCAATAAAGTAAATTGGAATTTAAACCACTAAAATTAGATTTTGGGTATTTCTTTCTTAGTTTCTTTTTAGCTGCTTTAGCATGTTTAGAAAAGCTAGCTTTAGAAATGAGAAGTAACATATCTAAATCTTCAGCAATACTGCCATAAATAATGTAAATGTTAATCTCTGTGTTGTGTGAATATGAACACTTCTGTGTTCACAATTCTGACAAAACAGACTAAGTGCTTGCACTGAGGGCAGCATGGTGGCGCAGTGGGTAGCGCTGTCGCCTCACAGCAAGAAGGGCCTGGGTTCGATTCCCGGCCAGGCGACCAGGGTCGTTTCTGTGTGGAATTTGCATGTTCTCCCTGTGTTTGCGTGGGTTTCCTCCCACAGTCTAAAAACATGCAGTCAGGCCAATTGGAAATGCTGAGTTGCCCCTAGGTATGAATGTGTATGTCTGCCCTGCGACGGACTGGCAACCTGTCTAGGGTGTATCCTGCCTTCCACCCAATGACAGCTGCGATAGGCTCCAGTGACCCAGAAGGATAAGCGGTTTAGATGTATGTATGCTTGCATGGATTTTCAATAAAAGACATTTTAATATCAGGGAGGGTCACTGATGAATTAACAGAAATTGTGGGTGAATTCATTACAATCTTTAATGTTTTAATTTGCTTTTATTTCACTTTTATTATACTGGGTTTATTTCAGGAACACAATCTCACAAACCTGAATGAACACAGTGGTCAGGAGCAGGGTTGGTAACTTCTACCTGTGAAGAAAATAAGGAATGAATATCCATGAATTAAGCCCAGTGTAACTTTTTTTTTTTAAATCTACTGTTTTTGACTTTTGGGTCCCATCTCATGGTCCCATCAGTGATATCATTTGCATACGCTTTTTTGGTTCACCTGAAAAACTAATAAAAACCTACATTTTGTGTCAGCATAAGCATCATAAAAACAACAACAAAAAAACTTTTTTATTTTCATTTGAAAAATTAGCAATTGGACTGCCTTAAAACTGAACTCCTGAAAGGTAACAGAACAATAATCTGTGCACTACATGCTGATAACTCCAGTTCGATAGAGTCAGAATTTTGAGGCAGTCTGCTTGCTTACTTTTGTAGTTTCCTTTTACAGTGAAGTTAGATAACATATGATAACTGCAAATGATGCTAAATCAAGGTTGCCCAAAGTGTGACTGGTGGGCTGTCATTAGATTTGACCCACCAGAAAGGTAACATTTACTGCATAATTTGAGCTCAACAACTGTCCTTTACATTGTGTGAACATTTCATGTTGATTGGACCAATAGAAATGCTCCAGAATTGCTTCAAATAAAATCTCTTTACATTAACTTACATTGAAAGTAAAGAGCGTTTTTACCATTTTGGAGATACTTGATTTTCTTTGAACAGTTCATGATATTTTTATGATATTTAATTTATTCACTTATTATTTTCCCTTTTAATTTAAGTAATTTAGTAACAGCTCGATCTGAAACCTTCCTGTCTTCTTGTTTTGTATGTATTGCTTCAGCTTTCTGGTCTTTGGCGCAAAGTTTGGGCAGCCGCTGCAAAAGTTTTAAAACGACAACTCCCAGAGCCCCTTGCGCGAGCGCTGTGGGTGGGCGGGGCGAGCGGTGCGGTGGGAGGAGCCTCGGCGCAAGAAAGAGAGAGCGAGCGAGCGAGAGAGAGACAAAATAAGGTCGCTTTTGGAACAACGACCACTTCAGTCACTGTTGGGGGGTTTTAATCCGTCTCTTTCGGATTACAAGTCGAAGACACCGACTCGAGAGGAACCGGAAGGTGAGAGAAAACCTTCCGTTGTCCGTTTTGAGCAAAAACCGCAGTAAGAAGAAAGAAGAAAAAATCGCCGAGTGTCTGGCTGCGTTTGACTGAAGTTAACGATGGCAATACAGTGACTGAACCTTCTCCTCCGCTTTATCTCAATTTAGTCCTCACTACAGGTTGTTGACAGACTCTAACAATTGAGAATAAGACGTTAAATTGGACCTTTACTTCTTAAAGCAAGCGGGGAGATGCTTTTAGAAGACCCCCTCTTCCCCTCATATATGTGGGCTGTGAAGAAGGTGCCTCAGCGTTGCTGTGTGAATCTGTCCGGGTTTTCTCAGCTGAAATGGGGCTAGAGAAAAAGTGTCCTGGTTGAACAAGTCTGAGGTTTTTAACTCTTTAAAGGTGGGGAAGCGTTGAAGGGGGGGTTGTGGGGTATGTGGAGGAGGAGGTGGAGGGGGGTAAAGGGGGTAAAAGGTGGTGGGTGCATTGGGGAGGGTGGCCTTTTTGCCCCATTGCTGCAAGGATGGGAAGTGATTGCAGTTTAAAGCCCTGTTTGGGGGAGAGGCAGATGGAGGGATGGTGGGCGATATGGCATAAATATTATATCACGATACTTCAAGACATTATTACGATACACAATATGTATCACAATATTTCGTTTTTCTGAGATTGAGTAAGTTGGAACAAATAAAATAGAACCTGTAGTGCCACTAAAAATGCTGACTAAAACAGTAATAAAATATCTACAACTATAGTGATTTTTATTCAATATTTTACAGTCTGCACTGCACTAAATCCAACAAAACAGCACTAAATATGCCCTCTTTGTAATATAACATGTAGTTAGTCAGTGTTCTTTAAGTACTGATGACTCAGACAGTGTATTGTGATGTAATTCATCATATTAGCCATAAAATATCGTGATATTGCCCACCTCTAATTGGAGGAAGCTTCAGGATCCAAAGAGGTTCTTCATGATTTGAGGATTTTGCTGTTCTTGCTGCTCTATGAATGCCTCAGTGTAAGTCAGTGGTCTCATTTTGATCCGAGCCTTTGTTTCTTTCAGAGAGAAGGTGGAGGTCCGGCAAAGAAGTGTCTTGCCGATTGTTGTGGGGGACTGAAGTCGACCTCGGCGGCCACTCATCAGTTCATGTAATGGAAAATGCATCGCCTGCTCTGCCCTGCAGCTGCAGCACGTCAGCATGAGCGGCGGCAGTAATTCGCTTCAAGCCTCGAGCCATTAAACCCCAGGGACTGCATTTAACGGTGGATGCTTTTAAATGCAGCCTTTCCTGTCAAGAAGGGCGCTTGAGTCCGAGCGGGATATTTAAAACGCTGCGTTGGATCCTGACGTCAAGGAAATAAATGGGAAAAGTTGGAAAACGAACTCCCACTGCTGCCATCTTTAAACTCTGAGATCTGTCAGCAGGTCCACACTGCAGTTAAATTACTTACTTAGTAGTTACTGTGGAATAAGTCTTACATGTAATAACTGGATACTAAGCTTGGAGTCACTTGGCAGTTGAGTCCCAGATGTAGACTCGCTCTGAAGCCCTTGTGGCATGATGGATCAGGGTGTCCGTAGCCGGCCTGACCAGTGTTAACCCACCAGGCTCCGGCAGCCTGGAGCCCAGTAACCTGCACCCCTGTGCATCCGGATCTATTCTAGAGATGGGTATTTTAACCACTTCTGCTGTTTGAATATCTGCATCAGCTGACCTACAGAAGGACAGTGCAGAGTCTCAAAACCTAAATAGTGCGAGTCTGTCATCTTTTTGTTTGACATTTCCATATACTGTTTTACTTTCAACATAAATCGAGACCCAACTGTTTGCTTCCCAGCATTCGCTGCAGTTCTACACAGTCAAAAACGTATTTAAAGATTGCAAGATCTTGTAATTACCTTCATTTTTTAATTCCAAACTACACATGCCTTACTCAAACACCCGGTTACTTCAGCAGACGCTAAGATGAATTCATATACCTGTATATTCAAATAGTCACGCCCATCCATAATCCTTTTCACAATGGCCCAGACCAGTTTACTGCAGGGCAAGCGCTTCTATTGCCGGGAATGGGTTTTCCACAAGATCCAGCATTGCCTTCAGGAGAAGACCAACAACCTTGTGGCTGGCACCCTGGGAGGCTCCAGTGGACCACCAAACCCTGGGGGTGGACCCTCATCTGGAACAGGGAAGTCAGGTTCTTGGGGGGTCCTGCTGGTTGGAGGCCCAGGCAGTGGTAAAACAGCACTGTGCACGGAGCTTCTTTGGCCCAGCGCTTCACAAGGCGCCCACCGGGGCCTCCACCAGCTCTGCTTGGCTTTCCACTTCTGCCGGGCCGAGGACGCAGACACGGTGTGCTTGAGCGGCTTCGTGCGAGGGCTGGTTGCACAGATCCGTGGAGGTGGGCTCGTCCCGCAGTACGAGGAGAAGATCCGTGACCCTGCTGTCCAAAGTGCCCTGCAGCCTGGAGAGTGCGAGAGGAACCCCAGCGAAGCTTTCAAAAGGTATGTAAGATGTGATTATGTCTATGGCTGGGTTATAGGATTGAATTCAGTTTTTGCCAAATGTGACAAGCTGTGTGGGCTGAATAATGTTGGTAAAATTGATTTATCAGCATCCACAAAGCACTGATTTTACCTAGAAGTTGCTTGTTTTAATTTATAAATTAACACACAACTGTAATATTGCTCATTTCGATGGATAGATTTGAGGATTTTCATGGTTTTGTCTTCTTATACCTCTCTACCAGTATTATTGGTTATCAGAATTAAATTAGGTGGTTTCCCATCAGGGATTAAGCCTAGTCCTGCTACACATTGTGATTGCAGTATGCCTTGGAATATTAAAATACATTGGTGAATCAATAATGTGACATGGTTTAAGTTTGGCCTGCTTGATTCTGGGCAACATTTTTGATTTGTTGGATTGGATGAATACCTGCATTGATCAAAACACCCATCTGGAGCTATGATTGGCCAGGATGCAAAACATTGTGATTGGTAAAAGCGCTCACTTGCATATTACCGCCTTCTTTGATCGCAGTGTTGCCAAAAAGTGTCAATAATGCCATAACGATTAATGAAGAATGCCTTAAGCAGCCCTAGATTTCTGCAGTCGTCATACAGAGGAAATGACAGCCTTGTCAGCCTTGTTCACAGTAGTGATGATGGGAACCAGATGTCTGAAGCATTTAATGTTTCAAAGCATTTATAGTTACATCATAGAACACAGCTACACTAAACGATTACGCTGTCTGTTGCCTGAGACATTGTTTTACGATTGTTTTGAGATGAAGTTTAGGCCGAAAATCATATTTTTTAAACACGTTCATGATGGAGAGGTACATGCAGGGTGTTGTAAGGCAAAATAGTCTTCAAAGAAAACGTATTATTTTGGGTTTACCACTATTTTACCATTCTAGACGTTACCTACAAATACTCCGAGGGCATGTGTATATTTACTGATCATTTTCGATAGTAAATACAATGGCTATGCTTGTGTTGTGGACGTCGTTCCCATGTGTCCTATCATCAACACTGTAAAGAAATCCAGAAGTTTGTTTACAATGATGCTCCATTTCACATCAAAACACTCTGAATGACTTTGTTTGCGTCTCAATTGTGTAGAGATTTGGTGGAATTCCTCTTAAACTGCACTTGCGCATATCACTGTGGTCATCATCCAGTGTGGCTAACTCGATAAGACGAAATGTGCACATGCAGGTCAATTCAGGGCAGGTCATCACACTAATGATGGACTGCTTAAATGCACAAATGAACTGTCAAAGACAAATCTGGACTGAGCAGTAAGGTGTCCGTTGTGAATGTAACACTCCTGTGATTCCTAACTGTGGATCACTGGACTTGTGACTGTGAGTATGCTTGTAAAATGTGTGTTATACAAAGAAGGCCCACACAAACCCTGCACTCCAAGTGATACATCCACTCATAAAATTTTTACACTGTAGCTGATGCATTGCTCTCAACAGTTCTCCTATTTAAGCACCCCCTTCGTGGTGTGTGTGTGTTGTGGCACCATGCTGTTAGTGCTCTGTGGTGAGTCTCAGGCCGCATAAGGCCAGTTATTTTAAGAATCTTTCATGTTTGTATTCATGTCTTCAAAAGCATAACTTCCTATACAGTTGAGTCAGCTGTAACGGCTTGCCATGCTCAATGGCCAACTACACTGCTGTTTGGATGAGTGGGCGATTTAGCAGGGACAAAAAGCCCACACTTAGAATAGGTGGAGGGAATAGTTTAGCCAAATATGCAAGCATGGTTAACACTAACTGGATACTATAGTCACTGTGCCATTTTATTTTGGATTTTTTAGTCCAGTAAATACTTGGATAACCCAGTCCCTTTTTGTTATTTAGAAAGTTAGCTGTTAATCTCTTAAATTATTTAGTTAACCCCTTACACCCTCTAAGTTTATTTTATACAAAAGCTTAATATACAGTAACTATATGGACTTCAATGCAAACTAATGGAGCTTTTCTTAGGTTATAGAATAAGAACCTGTTGTTATAAACGTTATAAAACTTTGGGCCCACCGAAGGGTCCATGGCTTGTTAAGGGGTCAAACTCTAATGGCCAATTTTCTGGACATGGATTAAGCCTAGTCTTGGACTAAATTGCGGAGCCAATGATGAATCACCATTGGAAGTTCCTTAGACTTAGGCTTAAACTTGATCTGCAAAACTGGCTCACTTCAATTCCTCACTCACATCACTACACAATAGTTTCATAGTAGTTATAGTAGTTACTAAGTAGTAGGTCTATACTGTTAGGGGTTAATTGGGCCAAGTCTGCTTGTGTTCCATATAATCAAGGTTTTTGAGATCATATGAATATTAAAATTAGTTTTTTTTTTTTCAGATTAGCAAGGTAAACTCTGAATGGTGCTACATCTCTAGCAATTAAAGCAGTAGCAAAGAAAAACACATTTGCTCAATTTTCCCTTATTGTAGTCAATCAGCCAAGACATGTTTGGTGTCTGACGTTCGCATGTTTAGTTTGGCACTGGAGCTATGAGGCTAATGTACTGGAAGTGTAAGAATAACAGTTAGCACTGTACAAACTGAGAACCTAAAGCCTCACATGCTTGCCTCAAACCAAGTATAACTGTTAAGTGATCTCAAATAAACTTGCTTATGTTGTTCAGCTATTTTGTCATTTTAAAATGATTGCTGATTAGGGCTGTTGATATTGTGAAATTTAAGATGATGATTAATTGTCATGTAAATTGTTTTTTTTTTTGGGTCAATAATAAAGAACAAACCTAAAGTGGGCCAATGAACTGATTAGCCTGAGATATTTTTGCTTAGTCAAATGTTTACAGTTACACAGAATCATGGAGAGTCAATCAAAGCTAGTTCTGTAGAATAAAAAGCACTAATTCTGGTAGTATACATGCTAAAATGTACATAGCTAACAAAAAAACATGCATTACTTTTGCTGCACTCCAAACATGTTAGAGCTCAGAGTTAGATGCTTTCATGCATCCCATGATGTGTCACAATGAATAGATTTACTGCCTTTTTTATTTACATTTATTTGCCAACCCAGTGCATCCAGTTTTTCTTGTTGCAGCATAATATGATTGTGAAATCTAACAACTGTGGAAAATAATTGCAGTCAGCTCAAATAATTGTGATCATCTCAAATAAACTGCAGTCAGGCGATTGCGTAATAATTGTGACAGGCCTAGTGCTAACACTGTTTTAAATACTTTTGGACTTTGGGGGCAACTGTGTGATGATTAAGCAGCCAAAACAGTCATACCTTGTTAATATTTCTGGAGACGCTTCTGAGGAGATTGAATATAAGATAATCCAGTTGCATGAGGAATGTCAAAGGAAACAAAGTGAAAAACAGAAGGTTCCAAAACTGAAGTTCAAGCTCCACATTTGCTTCAGATCTGAAAAAATCCACAGATGTTTCTGTCCATCTTTAAACTGTGAGAAGACAGCTGAACGCTAAAGGTTCTGAAAGGATGTGTAACTGTCAAGAAGCTGTTACTGAGAAAAGGAAATTTGCAAATCAAGCCAGGTGTTCTCATAACAATGTAGTGGTCACTCCAGAGCCCACACCTCATTGAATGTGTTTGGGACTACTTGGATTGTAAGAAGCAGAAAATTCAGCCAACTTCTGAGACTTTGGACATTGGAGATGTGGAAAAATATCCCTGCAGATTTTTTTGGAAAACTAAAATCAAGTCCACTGAAAAGAATGCAAACTGTATTAAAGGCAAAATAGTGGACACAAAAGTTGAACATGTTGATATTTAGTTTTTGAGGCTTCTGTCTAATTTTCCTGTTAAATATATTTTCTGTCGCTGAAAAATGAATAACTTGTACTTAAAGCTCATGACAGGAAATTAAATAAATAAGGTTGGTTTCCATCTTTTGCACAGTACAGTGCCTTAGTCTAACAAGCTTAGCTCCAATGCAGAACTTCGGACACCAAACCATCATTTTTAGCAATCAAAGAAGAAAAAAAAATGAAGTAGACTGAATTGTTCAGGTCCCTACACAGTTAATGTCAGACGACTATTCTGTTGCCCATATAATCCCGTTTATTGGGATTTGTATGGCTATAAGAATTCCTAGATTGGATCAACTCCGAGGTGTCTAATACAAATGACTCTGCTAATGTAAGCTGACCTGGTCTGGGCCGGTGGGTTATTTGCGGACTGAGCCGTTTGTTTAAGCATGGGCAGTCCCCCTCTCTAGGGACAACACACACACACACACACACATACGCATATCCAGCTCGCATGACTTGTTTTGGAGCACTGGGTCAGCCGGACTACCCTGGCCTGGAATGTAGTTCAGAACATACACACGCCCCTCTGTCTGAGCATCTGGTGTCACTTAGCACGCACACGTGTGTGTTTGGAGGTGGGGTGGGGGGTTAGTAGGTTAAATCGTCATTGAAAGAAATCTGTTAAAAATGGTCAACGGGGTTATTGATTCCAGCACTGTATGGCATTTTCTCAGAATACGGATTCTGTGGAAAAGGTCTATGATGATCTACGATGTCCAGCTAGCTAGATACTACAATTTATGGGCTTTTTTATTTACTGTAAAAGTGGAAAGAGTATGGGAAGAAGAAGCAAAATGGCACAAAATTGCAGTTTGAGTGCAATTTTCAAATTGCAAGAGCTGCGGTTTTAACTACAGCCTGTATTATTAAGAACATTGACTTAAGTTTTATGTAGGGAAATATTGCCTAATAACTTAGAGTCTGTGATCTGCCTATAGAATTAGATCAGTCAGAAGTCAGAAGCAACCAAACATCCATGTACTGTGTATAGGACAACACAGCTACAGCTAACTGGCAGTCTGGCACATCATACAAAGCGTCAAGCAAAGAAATGTGTATATGCTGATCTTGCTCGGCCCAACAACAGACCTGGACCTTAATTTATAGAAAATAATGACAGCTTTAGATTTTATTCAGTAATATAACTGTAATCTTACCATTGTTGGTAATTGTTATGA